CCTGGAAGAAGTGCAGCCAGAATGCTCCTTGGAAGGAAGAATGGCCAGACTTCATCCTAACTACTTTGGTCATGTTGTGAGAAGGGACCATTCCCTGGAGAAGGATATCATGATTGGTAAAGTGGAGGCTCGGTGAAAAAGGGGGAGCCCTCAACAACCTGGATTGACACAGTGACTGCAAAGATGGGCTCAAGTATAACAAGGATTTTGAGACTGGCACAGGACTAGGCAATGTTTTGTTCTGTTGTACATACAGTCATATGAGTTAGAGCTGACTCGATGACACCTAACAACAACAATGCAAACAACTAACCAAAAGAAAGCTGGTATACATATTATTATCAGATCAAGTAGATTTTAAGGTAAGGAGCATTACTAGAGATAAAAAATAATATTTCATAATTATAAAAGTCAATTCACCAGGAAATCACAGTAATTCTAAATTTGTGTCATCTAATAACAGCTTTAACATATAATGCATAGCTGACAGAGTTAAAGGAGAAATAGGCAAATCCTCAAACTTCCCAGAAGAGTTTAATGTACCTTACTAAGTAACTGATAGGACAACCGCAAAAAGAAAACTGTTTCTATCAGTCAGTTCTGATTCTTGATAACTTCTATGTTTCAGAGTAGAATTGCACTTCATCATAGGTCACATGGCTATGACCTTTTGGAAGTTGGCTGGCAAGTCTTTCTTCTGAGGCACCTCTGAGTGGATTTGAACTGCTATTCTTTTGGTTAGCAGCCAAAAGCTTAACTGTCTGTACCACCCAGGGATCCGAAAAAGAGTTAGGATATCAGAAATTTGACTAACACTATTACAACAAAAGATATTATAGGCCATTCTCTCTCAAGAACATGAATCCAGAAATTCTAAAGAAAATCATAGCAAAATATTTTATAATAAATATTTGAAAGAATACTAAACTCCATTTGTCATCAGGAAAATGCAAAGTAAAACCACAACAGACCTAAGTCTAGTAGGCACTTAACAAATGTTTGTTAAATTGATGAATGAAAGAGTGTTTCACATCTGGAGAATATTACTGGGATTTGCTTAGGCCATTCCTAGCTGAGAAGTCTCTCGGTGGCATGAAGGGATAAGCCTTCAAGTACTAGCCAAAAAGTTGATGGTTCGAACACAGAATAACCTCAGTAAACAGGCCTGGCAATCAGCTTCTGAAATGGCAAGGCCTTAAAAACTCTATGGAGCAAGGAAGGGGGACGTTTTTGTTTGGAGGGAATTGAGTGTATGCTAATAGGTGGTGGAGTATTTTGGAAAAGGCTAGCAATAATGATGACACAACATGAAAAATATAATCAACGTCCTTGAGCTGTAAATGTAGAAGTTGTTAGGTTGGCAAATGTCTTATTGTGTATGTTTTTACCACAATAAAAGTGAAAAACAAAATACAAAAAAATCTCTATGGAGTAGTTCTACTCTGCACACACTGGGTTGCCATGAGTTAGAATTGTCTTAATGGCGACTAATGAAAAAACAATCCCTAACTAATTTAGAATCCCAAACCTTCCCTGTCTTTGTTGTCTTAAGCAAGTAACTAAACCTCTTGTTGCCTCAGTTTCCTCATCAGTTAAACAGAGTTAGTGTCTACTTTATAGGGTTATTCCTTAGATAAAGTGACAAAACATATGGAAAATGTCTCACATATAATAATAGATAGTTAACAGATATTCATTTTCTTCTCACAAAAGCTTCATTCAGTAGGCCCCATGAGCCCAGAAGCTTTTATTTAAATCAGTTTTTGTCTACTCTGGCTTCACTTTAAAACTATCTGGGGTATTGTTTAAAAGTACTGCCTGGGTTTCTACCTCTGGAGATTCTGATTTAATTGGTCTAGTGTGAGGCCTGAGCAATGGTAATTTTTAAAGCTCCCCAGGTGAGTCTAATATGCAACTAGCACTGAAGACCACTGAGTTTGGGTCATTAGCTGGGGTGTAGGGGAGGGTTGGCTGTGTAACCATCATAGTCCACTGGAAGCCCTTGTAAAACCTGGCCCTTCCAACACCTGGAAAACTCTAGAAGCCAGCTTGGCTTATTTCCTCCAGTACAAATCTTCAACTGGCAGACTAGACAGATGGTTATTATTTATCCTTCCTGCTGTGTTAGAAAGAAAAAAATTAGCCCTGCCTCAGTTGGGATTTTCAAACAATTTTTACATGTGTGAACAATTACCTTTTTATATGTTTATAGATATTAGGAAGGAGAAAGGGAAGTTGGAAAGAGACCAGTTGGACCAACATGCATTTTTTCCTAACATAACTTTTTGAAGTTCAGACAGTAAAGAGGAACTGTGCTGGGACAAGGTCTAGGTTCTAGATCGTATTCTAAAAGGTATAACGCATGCCAACAGTGCCCAGCAAAGTACTTGACACATCATAATTAACGTCAGGTCATTTCCTCTAGGGAAGCTAGAGTCACTTAATATCATATAATAATAATAACACAACAACACATAATAATACTTTGTATTGAGTATCTTTTCTGTATATTATTTAACATAGGTAATTTTATTTTATCTTCACAACGTTACTATAAATCACTAATATCAGCCCCTTTTCACAAATGACAAAATTAAGATCAAAAAGCTTGCAACAGGTTAAGGGAAGAATCAAGATTAACATTTAGGTCTGTCTCATACACTGCTTCCAGAATCCCTTTTGCTCTCAAACTCTATGGATGCTCTGAATAATTTGAGTCTTTCTTTCATCTCAATGAAAAATTTTTTTTTAAATGTACTAGGTTAAATAAAATGGGATCAGTGCTGCCAGGAGATGACTGGTTCCTGTAACAACTTAGATTTCAGCTGTTTCACTAAGAGCTGCCTCAAAGGGGCTGCCCTGATTGGCTACCATCATGATCTTCATCAGTCTCTAATACAGGTTCCTCCATGTGCCATCTGTGTTAAACATGGAAGAAAAAAGAAATGCAGAGAAATATCCTTCCTCTCCAAGGGCCTGAAAGGGCACAGGGAAAACAACATATATATGCAGGGCCTTTATTTTCCAAACTCCCAATCAGAGCACATCATCTTTCACTTATTCAACAAACAAGCATATTGAGTACTTATTCTTTGCTGTATGTTGGGGCTTCAGAGAAGAGTATGAAGACACCGTCTTTTCTCTCAAGAAACTGATGGAGAAAATTCATGAAGATCCATGTGTGCCGTGTTAAAAGTCTGTTTAACCAAAGGCTTTTTAATCTGATGTGAATGTGTTTATATAAACATTCTTACATAGATAACACTATTAGTTAACATTTATTAAACACTTGTTATGTTTCCAGTAATTGCTTTGCATTTTCTGACTTATTTAATCCTCACAACCTGGAGGTGTCAGGTTTTCTATTTTACAGATAAGGAAACTAAGATATAGAAAAGGGATTTAACTTCCCAAATTCATGCATCTAATAAGGAAAAGTCAAGATGAGACATCAGACCCATAACATATGGCTTCAGAGATTATATTCTCAATCACAGTGTTAACTAGCCTCCTTCCACTTTTTGTTTAAAATTATTGATTGAATCATTTTCATTGAAAATAATGAGACCAAATATACATTTTTAATTGCATATTTTAAATATTCAATGACTTTAAACTAAAACTCCCAGAAAACTGTGCTGTGTGGTTCTTACTTGGATTTGAAAAATAAGTCTGATGAAAAGTGTGGATTGACGAAAGCATGAAACCAGCATTAAGTCTTAGAGGATTTCAGCAGAAGGTCTCCATGTCATTCTTCTGCTTGCTAAGAAAACCTCTTTTTCATTGAGGCAGTTCCAGGGTGGTGCAAGCAGTTAATATGCAAGCAGTTTATGGCTTCTGCTCTTGTGCTGCTTACCAAAAGTTGGAGGTTTGAGTCTATCCAGTGATGCCTCAGAAGAAAGGCTTGGCAATCTACTTCCAAAAAATAAGCCATTGAAAACCCTACTGAGCACAGTTCTACTCTGATCCACACGTCACCATGAATCAGAATCAATTCCTTGGCAACTGGTGGTGGGTGATGGTGGTGGATTCACACAGGTAGTAGCCTTCAGCAAGTAGTCCAGGTTTGGGAATATTGCTCATACCTCTTTTCCTCAGACCACTGAAAGGAGCAAGGAAGGGGTTAGAAAAGGGTTGGGCCTGATCTTACAGGTGGTACACACCTGCATGGAAAGAGAGGGAGACATAATTGCTGCTCTGTTAAGAAGCAGGACCATGGGAAGCCCTCCTGATTCAGAGCCTTTCTACTGGCTGCTGTCTCTGCTTCTCTGGGACTGTCTGCTTCACACACACACACACACACACACACACACACACACACACGACCACCAAGTTTGCCTGGAGAAACTCCTATTCATTCTTCAGGTCACCAGTTTAAGCGCCACTGACTTCATTCAAGAAGCCATCCTTGATCCCCCACCACTCCTACCCCTGCCACATAGTCAGTTTAAATACTTTCTTATTCCCCCACATGTTTCCTTTACAGTATTTATGGCTTCTGCTCTTGTTAGCCGCCATTAAATCGATTCTGACTCATGGTGACCATATGTATAACAGAATGAAATGTCGCCTGGCCTGTGCTGCATCACAGGCATTGGTGTATTTGAGTCCATTGTTGTGACTATCGTGTCAATCCATCTTGCTGAAGGTTGCCCTCATATTTCTGACACCCTACTTTGCCAAACATGATGTCCTTTTCTAGGCTTGGTCTCTCCTGATGATGTGTCCAAAGTAAGTGAGCCGAAGTCTCACCATCTTCACTTCTAAGAAGCATATGTTATTTACAGTAGTTTGTAATTAAGTGATAAATTTTAGTAAATATTTAACATCAACCTCCCCTATGTGGGCTCAATCAAGGCAGAAACCATGTCTTTCTTCTATATCAATGTATCCCCATCATCTAACAGCACCAACTATATAGCAGGGTTTCAATATTTTCTTTGCCTGTGTGTTTAAGAAGAGAATGGATTAAAACATTCCATATTTTCTTTCTTGTTCAGGAGAGAATGAAAAGGAAGTTGCTGCCACTCCAGTGGAGCCTGAAGTTCCTGAGATGTCTCAAAGCAAAAATGAACATATGGTATGCACCTGGATATATAGGGCTTGGGAGGATCTTTACAGATCCTCGGCCTTCCGTTCTCTGATGTTGGATGTGGTCCTTTCTTCTGGGTTTTTAGTTCCTACCTAACCCCTCTATATCTGACCAATTTTGACTTCAAGCAGAGGAAGCCCTAGAGTATGGGTTGGTTCCTTTCCTAGCTGGTATGCCACTATGCAGTGAAAGGCTAGCCACCTGCCCCAAGAAACTGAACAGGTAGCATCTCTATCCTGTGGCCAATCCATCAACTGCCATTGAAATCAAAGCTGGTATGAGACCTATTCTGACCTCTTAAATCCAGCTTTCAGAAACTAAGGGTAATCTTTTCCTCAGACACCACACTTTTAAATGCAATGGACTCTTTAATTTAAAAAAAGAAAAAAAAAAAAAAATCTGGCAAGCCTTTGGAATCTGTTTTAATATTCCCAGCACTTAGCCAGAAGAAGATGCAGACAGAATTGAAAAACAGCCTGAGTTTCTCTGTTGTTGTTGTTTTTAAATACCCGGATTAGAACATAATTCATCTTAAAATGATGGGAGGCCTCTTCATGCACTTCACACTTTGAAATATTTTAGAAAATAGTATCCATTTTGGCAGGCCTCTTGCTGTACAAGAAACAACAGCAAATGCTTTTCTCCTTGAGTGTTAAGTCTGTTATGAATAAGATTTAAAAAAAAAAATTGCTCTTTTATTTTGCCTCTTGTTTTAGGGTTTTATTGTATCTCTGCAATAATTAATTCTCCTCACATTCATTGTCCCACTTTTTTCAGAAAGAGAAATTGAATTAAGCACATGGTTAGTAAAGCAACTATCCTGTGGTCCAATAGAAAATCATTCATTCACTTGTTCATTCAGTACACATGTCTTAGGAACTACTGTGTGTCAGCCACTAACCACAGCCTGGGGATACAATGACACTCTCACAGGCTCAGCCATCCAGATTCTGGTAGAGGAAACAGATCATTGAACAGCCAGTTATAACATCAAAGGATAAAAGCTTTGAAAGATAAAGGGGCTACAAAGAATCATCCTTTGCTCAGCTTGAGGCTGTCAGGAGAGGCTTTGCACAGAAGTAAATTATGAGCTGGGTCTTGAAGGATGTGTAGGAGTTTAACTAATCAAGGAGTAGGTGGCATGAAGGGTTTTATAATCAAGGGAACAACATGTATGAAGGTATAAAGGCATAAAATAGTTGTTTTTTTTCAGAAATTGTCAAGGTTTTTCTCCATAGCTGGAGAAAAAGATGTGTATGTAGGATTGAATGAATTCAAGGCCAGGGAGACAAGCAAGAATGAGCATATAAATGGTCTTATTTGCCAGCCAAGGAATTTGGGCTTCATCCTGACACAGTGGGAACAAAATATTATACTGTGTTCTAATTTGTTAGTTGAACCTGATTCAGGTCCCTACAAGCCACCAGTCCCTTGTCTTTAGTGGTTAAAGAGAGGGGTATATTGTCTGCAGAAATATAAAACTATTTCAAATTATTTTCTCAGGACCAAGGGCATCTTTGAATTTCCTAAAATAAACAACAAAATTTGTGAAAGTGTCCATTTACCTAGAAAAACTGTTTAAAGCTTTTTATCAGATTTTCAAAGTGGCCCAAAGCTCTAAAAAATGATTTTCTGATTTTCCCCAAATTGATCTTACCAAGCCAAAAAAGAAACCAAACCCACTGCCATTGAGTTGAATCTGACTTACAGAGACCCACACTGGGTTTCCCAAGTGGTAAATCTTTATGGCATAGATTGTCTAGTCTTCCTTCCACAGAGTGGCTAGTGGGTTTGAACCACCAACCTTCAGGTTAACAATCAAATGCCTTAGGCACTATGCCACCAGAGTTCCTTGATTTCACCAAAGTAATTTTATATTAATCCCTTAAAACTCACTGGTTATTGGTTATCCATGTAGATAACCATATAGCATTTGATGATTCTAAACAAAGAAAATTTATTCTTCATATTTCCCAGCAGCAGCTCATGTTTGTTAACAAGCTCAAATTCTGGCTTCTTATTGCAATTACTATTCTTCAGAGTGATGGAATTTTCACAGTTTATATGTGAGAAGTTTAAGATGAAATATAAAGTTGGATTAATTCGGGCATTTGAAAGTTAACCAAAAACCAAACTCACTGCCATCAAATCTATTCTGACTCGAAGCGGCTCCCATTGAGTTTTCAAGGCTGTACATTTTTATGGAAGTAGATTGCTTTATCTTCCTCCCACGGAACAGCTGCTGGGTTTGACCTGCCGACCTTCTAGTTAGCAGCCAAATGGCTTAACCACTATACCACCAGAGCTCCATTTGAAAGTTAGGAGACTATAGATGGTGTACAAAAGGTAGAGCCATGATTTTATGACGTGTTAGCTATTACTATTTGGATTTCAATTGCTCTTAATTAACAGAACCAACTCTACCAGCTTTACTTACTGGAAATTGCTATCAGGGTGATTCTGACTCCTGGCAACCCCATGTGTTTCACAGTAGAATTGCACTCCCTAGAGTTTTCAATGGCTGTGATGTTTTTGAAGCAGATCACCAGGGTTTTCTTCTGAGGTAAACTCTGGGTGGGTTCGATCTGCCAGCCTTTCCATTAATAGCCTACCACTTAACCTTTCATGCTGCCCATCAAAGCACTGCCATCCAGTCAATTCTGACTCATGGAAACCCTGTAGGACAGTAAAACTGACCCATAGGGTTTTGAAGGCTGTAAATCTTCATGGAAGAAGACTGCCTCATGTGTCTCCTGCATAGCAGCTGGTGAGTTAGAACAGCCGATCTTTTGGTTAGCAGCCAAATGCTTTAACCACTGCACCACAGAGGTGCATATTATGTTACCTGAGGGTAGAAATGCAAATCAGGGACTTGAACATCAGCACAGCTTCCTATATCCTGTCTTTCTTTCTGTTGTCAGCTTTCTATGCTCTCTCTCAAGCTCTCTCAGCAGACCAGCCTTTTCTCATTTCTACTACACAAAATAGAAAACCTGTTAGAGTTCCAACCTCCCACACAAAGAATGATCTTCACTTTTCTATTTCTTTGACTTTCTCTCTCACAAATAATTCCAAACTTCCTGGATAATGGACTTACTGACCAATTTTTCTTAGATGCCCAGTTCTGAAATAGGCATTTAGAACATGACAGTTCTCTCTACAAAAATGCCCATCAGCAGGAGGGCTATTCCTGGAAAAGTGATGCCAGACAGATCAAACAATGGATGTCCACTCTCTCTACATGGTAGGTGGCAGAATGCCTTATGTGACGTCCAGCAGGGATTCATTTCTCTATTTATTCTAATAAATAAATAAATAATACTTATTGTACCTCTTTAATGTACTGGCCATGGGATTAAGATATCAAGATGAACTGGACATAACTTCTACCCCATAATTCTACTCTTGTGTCTTACGTTTCCTGTGTGATATTGGTAAGTCACTTTCCCTCTCTGGGCCTCAATTTTCTTTTGTTAAATAAACAGGTCACACAGAACTAAAGATGCTTTATGATCCTTTATACTAGGCGCATGATCCTTGTATTGTTCAGTCACTCTTTGGAAAGAATTTCACACTCATGATCCATAGGTTTCCCTACCAAGGAATTATAAGCATTGTCTGAAGTTCATCCCCTATGAATCAATCCTACTAGTGCAAAACAGAGTAGGTCATCATGAAATGTCTCTGTCAGTTGAAAAATTTCCTGCCTTGTGCAAGTCAGAAATGAAAACTAAATAAGTGTTATGATTTCAACCTTTCCTTTAAAAATAACAAACTGAACATAGTAGTTTATATGCAGCAGCACTTGGCAGATAGGTCCTACTGCTCTGAGGCTTTGAAACACGTCCCCCTAGCTTTACAAAGCCAGACCTTACAATAAATCTTGCTTGCTGTGTGGCCTCATCTTTGGCCAAAAACTGGGGAAGCTCTGGGTGGTGAATGCATTGCCAGTGAGATGCTTGTGTTGTTTTGGTAGAAAACTCCAAAAGAGGAGCTGCAGCCAGAAAGCCCTCCTGCTGAGACTTTGGCCCCAAAAGATCCACTGAGCTCTTTGAAGATCAGACCAGTGTCCCAGCCTTTTGTGGATCCTGTCAAGAAGACTGAATCTGAAGAATGTGAGACATGGATAGACAGGTTCAGGAAGCTTGAAAACGCACTCTACTTGTGTGATCTGAGTAACACAGGTGAAGTATGAACTTTAAAGTGGATCTGGTTTTCTATTTGTGTTCTAGTCTAAAAGTGAGCAGCTCATTTTCTTTCACTTACCAAATAAATGCAACCTGTATATAAGTCACGTGCCTGGCACTGTGCTGTGCACAATCAGGAAATACGTTAACAGACACGACTCCTCCCACGAGTTTGCTTACAATCTTTTTGGTTTTGATCCTTCCTCCACTGGACTGCTGGAGTCTAGCTCACAATTCAGTCTTCTAATTATTCTAATTAAAATATTTCAGGAGCTCTTTACTGATAACAGGATGAACTCCAAACTCCTTAGCAAGGCAAAATCTGGTTTCTGTCCACCTGACCAGTCTCTTCTTTTACTATTGCTATTCCCTTGACATTTTCAATACCGTCATAATGAATAACTTGCCTTTCTGCAAATATGCCTTGCTTTCTCTTATATCTGTGCCTTTTCTCACCCTAAGCACTCTACCTAATCTGTCTGCCTCTCTTCTACCTAATCCACCCCCAGCCAACTCCCTGTTTTGTCCACCTGGCTAATTAATGGCTAAGCATCTTTTAGTTTGAACTCAATCACTTCTCCTCTGAGACTCCCCTGATTACCCTAGAGAGATCCATGCCAACCTTCATCTGGCCTCTTCTAGTTCTTTAACTTCCATTATCATATTTGATGTATTTTCTTTTAATTTGGAAATTTATTGCTATCTCACCAGGAGACTGAATTCCTTCTTCTTCATCTTCTTTTTTTTTTAATCCCAAACACTGAACAAATTTTTGAGGGAAAGAATAACTGAATGAATGTGGATAAATAGCAAATCAAGATGGAAGATGATAAATGTCATTAGAATATATGTGCTGTGTGGATATTCAAAGGATAATTCCTTCCTGGAAGAGTGATGGGGAAGGAAATATTAGTGTTTAATTGATCATTAAAGATAAAATGCAGCTTGCACACAAGGAATGAAATAGAGGAGCCTTTTGGGTAAAGGTTCAAGGTCAGTTAAGCAGTGTGTTATGTGTAAAGCTCAAAACAAGGAATTCTGTTGGAATAGAACACAGGGGCTATGGAAAAGAATATTAAATGAAAAAGGTAGAAATACAGAATTTGACAAGATCTTAAGAAATCTTAAATGCCAGACCAGAGAATTTGGACTTAACTAAGAGTTTCTAAGCAGGAGGATGACATGACAAAGTTGTACTTCAGAAAAATTCTTGAATGACTGTGTGCAGAATGAAGGAGAAATTGGAAGCAGTGAAGGAGAAAGGTAGCTATTGCAGTGTCCATGTGAAAGAGAACAAAGTTTAAAACTAGGTCAGAGACCCAGAGAATGGATAACGGGGGGCAAATACAAAAGCACATGGACTGAAGCTGTTCTATTTAACCAGAAACTTTGGCTCATGAACAGTTAGTGTACCCATTCTTTCTTCTACTAACCTCCAGAAGAAGTAAATATATAGCAGTAGTAACGTCTACTATTTTCACTCTCTGTGTGTTAAAAAAAAAAAAAAAACTGCCATCGACTCGATCCTGACTCACAGCGACCCCTCCTTCGGTTTCCAAGGTGGTATCTCTATGGAAGTAGATTGCCCAGTCTTCCTTCTTTGGAGTGGCTGGTGGGTTTGAACTGCCAGCCTTCTGGTTAGCAGTCAAATGCCTTAGGCACTACGCCACTTTTTTATTTTGTTCTGAAATGCTTTAGATTTCCAAAACAACTCAATTCTAGACCACTTGATGTAAAATTAGTCGACAAAATCAAAAACTTTAAGTAATTACACCAAAGAAAGAAGAAGAAAAAAAAAAAGTCACCTGAAAAATCCATCTAGCTACATCAGAACAGTTTTTATTAAATATGTGTTGATCCCAGCACTGTGCTAGAGGCTGGACCAGGAGAGACACTAGACAGGATGAGACATGGTCTGTGGTCTCCAAAAAGCCTGCAGCCTGCAGTCACTTTTAGATAAAACACGGAGACTGGCAATAGTTCTATGCCTATTTTATTTTTGTTTCTGTTTTTCTTTTTTAAAAGTTAAAAAAAAAAAAAGAAACAGTGTATAATAAAGTTTTATAATTGAAGGCACAAGTAACTATCAGGGTCCAGAGGAAACTTTATAATGTAATGTGATCTGGGGTATTCAGAGAGGACTTCATGGAAGAGGGAGAACTTGAGCTGACTATTGAGAGAAGTCAACTTTAGATAGTTGGGCAGGGCATTCTGTATGAGAAACTATCTTCTACAAGGATTAGAAAAGGGGAATAAGTATGATGGAAAAGAGAGTGAACAAAAACAATAAGCTTATGTTGCATAAAATAGTAAAGTTGAGACCCTATCCTGAGGATGGAAAAAAAAAAAAAAAACTCATTACTGACTCATAGTGACCCCTCCTTGGGTTTCCATATGGAAGTAGCTTGCCCAAACTTCCTTCCAAAGAGTGGCTGGTGGGTTTGAACTGCCAGCCTTCTGGTTAGTAGTCAAAATGCCTTAGGCACTATGCCACCAGAGGTCCCAACCTGAGGCTAGGATGGGGCTTTATTCTTCACCAGGTATCCATCGAAGACTGAGAGGAGAATTGAGACTGGAAAAAAGGAGATCAACAGGTTATTGAAATAATCTCGTATTTAGATATTTAGTTCAAGACTATGAAATATGAGAATGGTGATAAGATTACCAAAGAGAGACAGAGAGAGGAAAGACATTCTAGAAAAATGATGAGCTGTGATGATGAATGATGGATCATAAACTTTGCTGCTAGGAGAAACCCTAGAGTCAGAACTTTCTCATACTTGTGAACTTTCTGAGGAAGAACAGTTTTGTTGACTTTGGAGACAGATTCCATTAAATTTAGAATGTCTTTCCTATGATCTCCTCACTATTTATGCCTGTTTTCTCTGTTTCTATGAAATTCATTAGTTCTTTAATAGCAAAGGAATGTGTCAGCCAGATTTGGGAATGTCTATAACTGTCTTTAATGAGGAAAAAGGATTAACTGAGGTCATTTTGTTGGTTTATTAACCACAGTAGTTAGCAAACCACCATGGCCCCATTCTAGTACTGAGCAGATGATACCTACTTTGCCCACTGATGAATCATTGCTCTTTATTATGTGTGAGGAAGTATGTAGGCCAGGGTGTTCTTCATCCAAGGTGAAGGCGGACCATCCATCATCAAATCTACATTTCTGGGAACCGATTCTGTGCATATTCTCTAATGGGGGTTGTCAAGTAAATATCCTTGGGGAGAAATAAAAGAAGTGCCAATGTTTTCAAAAGAAAAAAGGATGGTTGAGATAAATATTTGGGTGAATTGTGGATTTGGAATTTGCCCAGTGAATTAAAGGCTATGTAGAAAACATTTTAGACTCCGACAAGACTCCACTGATTGCTGAATCCTAAAAGCCAGTAGCTCATATTTTCTAAGCCCATTTCCTCATCTTTAAAATAGAATAATAATAAAAAGTATCCCCCAGATTTCAGAAAGGATCAAATGAGATAAGAGATTTGAAGCTTTTAGTAAACTGTAAATGAAGTTGGTGTTAAAGAGGTTCATATTATCATTGCTTTTATTTTGGATCTGATGGTAGAGGGATGGGCTTTATAACAATAAGATGGATTGTGAGGGTTATTTTAT